TTGTGTTTGTACTGTTTTAGAGATTTAAAAGACGCAGCTACTGATGTTAATCAAACAGTTTTTCTATATCATTACGAATGGTTTTTTTAAACTTTCAAATATTCGTTTTTTCTTTCTGGTAACTGTGCAGAAAAAATTATTTTGTTACACTATTCCTATATAAATCTAGAAGATAAGGTTGAATAAGGTTAAAGCTATATTCAAAAACTCTTTTACAGTCTAATTTACTCGAACCAGTAATTGAAAAAGCTTTTTATGCTTTAATTATAGTGTTTAAGTGCTAGAAATAATGAACGTTTAAAGATACAATAAGCAACTTTTTTTTTTTTTTGTGTTTACTTTTAGTGAGTTTCTCCTTACGATTTTACTAAATTGTTGTTTCAAGCACTAAAAAATAATAATTTTTTATGCAGACAATTGGTTTCAGCATTTTGCGAATAATAAATTGTAGAAGAATAATATTTTTATTCATCTTACAGATGATTATTGAATCATCAAAGCCGATACGTGTCAACGCAGACTGTCTAAGAGCAATTGTCTCATTTTTTGACCATGATGATCCACTTACAATTGTACGGTTTTCTCGAACTTGTCGAGCAGCTAAAATGATTGGTGATCAATTGTTTCCCAAATTTAAGCAAATGGAACTTCGAGTGAAGTAATTTGTTTGTCTTTTGAATTTTTTCTCTTATCTATCTAAGTCAAACACAGTTCTGAAACGCTAGTTTTATGTAACTATGTAATGTAATCATCATTATTCAATCTCATTTAAAAGTCAGTCCATCAGCTACATTGCCATAGATAAATTCACACTTATCACCGTTTTTGCTTGTACATTTATTTGTGTAACTATACCCATGAATTAACTTCAGTGCAACAGTGGACCTCGATACTGGTGAAGTAACATATACGGCTGGGGTACCAAGTTGTATGCTACCTGCATACTGGACTCGAAACGAATATGAGAAACAATTACTAAAAACAACAAAACTGGTCGTTTCAAAGTCAGTTTACTTTTATTCTAAATCTACCTGACCTTAAAAACTTGGAGAATAAGCAGAAAAATTTTGTTATTCTCTGATCGTTATTCACCTACTCTCTGAAAGGTGAGTTGCCGTCGGTTGTAAACGATGTTATTATATTGGGGGTCACCCTAGCTGATTAATTTTTTATTTCACCATTTATCGATCCAAAATAGAGTTCAAATAGTGCCTGCCTTTCAGAAATTTTTACATCAAGAGACTGCTCTCGAAGTTACGTTATGCGGAAATTGTTGATTCAGATATTGTTGTTCAAGGAGAGGAATTTAAGCCTGGGTTAATTTATTTTGTTATTAAAGAAATGCAGAAAATATCGAATAAAACGCCGCCATTTTGTTGGGTCAAATCTAACGCGTTTTTTCCAACAATGGTATGTCATATAATCTGCTAAAGCACTCTGCCAATTCATTTAAAGTTTTTGTTATAATTTTATTTCTAATTCGCTTGCAGATTCACTTGTCAAGGCAGAAATCTGAAAATCTCCTTCGCATTTTTCGTCTATATTGTTTGGCAGCTCAAAATTGGATAAAGCCAGAAATTCTCCTGGCTAGACAGTGCAGCTTACTGCAGTATGTGTATCAAGGCGAACCACATATTTTTTTCAGAGGCCTCAGCAACAACTGCAATTGTATTCTGCGATTTATTTATTACTTTATAGAAGTCAGTTTTTCGGTTGCGTTAAATGATTTGTTTTCCATTTTTGTAAATACAAACTAAAATGAGGTTTTAAAAAATGGAAAAAAGTTTTAACTTGATGCTGGTTAACCAGGTGTATGAGACACTGATATTATCTATTCTACGAGAAATTGCTGTCAAAAAGCGTACTTTAGAAGCTTTATGATTCGCCACCCGCCGATGATACCTGGTTTTCGTTCCGATTTCATGTTACTGATCCGGAAAATATCAATGACCTTATTGAAGGTTGTACAGAAAATCCTTTGGTAACATTTGTTGTCGATGCTGTTCCTTATTCACCTTTAAAAATGACTCTGAGGAACGATGTTGTAGTCTACTTGGAACGAGAAGATGACAAGGGTGAAACTGACTTAACAATTAGTAATGATTAGATTAACCTTTCCAGTGGAACCTCTTTTTTTTTCTTTGTACTACATCAATGATAATATTTGCTATCTTACTATGCAGTTTTATTTAGTTATATTATGAAAGCAAATTTCTTTTTTTTAAATCTTAATTTGTACTGGTTTATTATTTATTTGGATTTATATACTCAAGCGTTAGTCTGTTTATTGTTTGCTTTTAAAAGTGTAAGCTTTTTTCGTAAAAATGTAGCGAAAGAACCTTCTGCTGCGAATTAGAGGTTGTTAAACTGTTATTGGCCTGCAAAGACAAAACTATTCCATCTGTATCATTCAAAGATTTCAGGCATTTGTCCTCTTTTAAACAGTTTTCTGCTCTGCCTAAATGGTTTTTTGTTGCTACCTATACTCTTGGCTATATCAAGTATTTTTTTGTTTTTATATAATTGCATGTTTCTTTGAGGTTTTTCGTTCTTTTAGATGTTTTTGTATCAATTGCGTATTTATGGTCGTATTTTAGATATACGTATTTGTTGTGTCTGTCGTCTATTCTATAGTTGTTAGGTGTTAATAATTATGATTCAATTTCTTGTTTTCTGCGCTACATACATCCTTATTGCTAATGTTGTGCGAACAACAGATGATCATTTTTTTAATAGTTTTTTTTAACTTAATGTATTGGTGCAGAATATTAATTTTGAATAATTCTATTGGTCAAGCGTAAGACAAAAATTTTTTCATTTAGTGGTTTTTGCAGTTTTGTCTTGTTTGGCGCCTGCAGCAGAGAGGAATAATTATTGGTCAAAATCATAGATTATTTTTTTGCAGATTACTGCTCAGCAGACACAACAATAGTGGCCAAAAATTGGGATATGTGATAATCTAATACTTTCCCTATCATATCGCAATTTGACGCGATTTTTACGGGATGATGTGGTGTTAAAAAGAGAAAAGTGCGCTTTTTATTAGCTTTTTTGGAGCGTGACTTTCGAATCTCGTAAAAGTATTAGGCCTCTTAAAGTCTTTATTATAAAGTCAAAGTTAGCAATCAATTTTGTTATCTATAAATCGTATAGTGTGATAAATTCACTACACTACTATGATTTACAACTTTATGTGCGCTACTTTGCAATGTAGAAGAAGTCACTTGATTTTGGGACAAAGTCCTGCAGGAAAATCTTAGCTTTTTGTTGCCAAATATTCATCCCTACATTTTTTTTTATTTCTTGTTTGGCTAACTGCATGTTAGATATTGGTAGATACTACTCTTTTGTTACTTCTGTATTTCTGTCAGAAAGTGGTACTTGCTGTTCAAAATGCTGCTAAGCAAATTTGACGGTTAGTTTTGAAATATGGATGTATGTGAAATTAAGAATGTAATGAATTTCTGTTTCCTCTGATATGATTTGGTGTAAGTTTTGTAAATTTAATGATTTCTGAAAAGCACGGCTTTTTTTAGAAGAAACTTGTGAGGCAAATTTTCAATCTGTTTATCATTTTTTTTTTGTTTGTTTGTTTTGTTTTGTTTTGCAGCCAACATTGTCATATGCTTCAACACATTCAGAAGCTTGATCTACGGACTGTTTACAGGCATAAAGGTTCATAATTTGACTGCAAATCTACGGTGCAATTTGAAAAGACGGGTTAAAAGTGATGGCTTTTTCCTTTGATCAAAGAAGGAATACTAGTCTTAATACTGATTTTATTCAGCAGCATAGTTTTATGTCGGAAAGTTTTTTAGAAGTGCAAAGTTAGATGTTCCTTCCTAATTAACTTTAGATTTTCTTTAATCAATAACAGCTGCGTATGGTACTGCAGATAATGCCGCAATGACAAATTATCACTTCTGCTAGTTGATCTCAAAGCGTACAAGATTTCAACCTATGAATGAGGAATTGGAGTAGGAACTGTGCTGTTTTCATACTAAAGTAGTAGAAAGATGCGAGATAGGAAACTTTGGTGTGGAAGTGCAAAGGTGGAATGGAGACAGCACAATTTTTGCACTCTAGTTACAAAGCATTATGAGGCTGCGAAATTTGCATAGAAACCGTAACATTTCTCCACCGTAATCGCAAAATCGTTTGGAGCTGTAGATCAAGCGACTGAGTTTTGACTGTTATTCAAATCAGTTTCTAAAACCTAACTGTCTACAGGGCACTTTAAACTGGCAAATGATCGGAACATCATTTTTTTCCTTTGCTGTTTATTTGCAAACAAGTGTAAGCATTTATTACCTGGTTCATGAGGTTGTTACCCTGTTCCTTAGTGCATCTTGCTTTGATGGTATATGAGTATTCTTCGGTTATTAAATTAAACATTCTAGTCATCAGGGCTGTCAGATTCTTTGGTCTTTTTTTTACAGTTGCTTTTGCGGGATTTGATATGAGCGAATAAACACGTCTTGTTTTCATACCTAAGCATTGTCTGTCAACCTTTGTCAACGATTTTTCAGTCTCTTTTTTCAGTCTCTCTTTTGTGCTTAAGTGTCTCACTCAGAAGATTTTTCCCCAGGGTTGGAAAAGAACCGATTAAATTTATTGGAAGGCATCATTAGCGTATAGAGGAGGAGTATTGTTGGCTATAGAAGAGGACAGTGAGGTGTATGGATACAGCTGAGGTCATTCTTCTCACTGCTAACTGTATGCTTCCTAATTCAACTTTTTAGTGTTGTTGAAAAGAGCGTCGTTGTACTCTCCTTTGTGAGGCTGCTTGTGTTCTGTGGTTTTAGTATATTACTTTTTTATTATTCGTGCTAGTTCCTGATTGTTTTGGTAAAAGTACCGAATTTTAGAAGTTTCAGGATAGGAAAGAAAATCTAAAGAAGGCAGTTCTCTGAAGTACGTCACAGGGGACGCGTAAGAGATGGAAAATAAATAGCGTTAAAAAAGCCAAAGGCTAAGTCACTTTGACAGCTTTATTTATTAAGGGTGGTTTGTAGGAAATTTCTTATCCTGTTGTTCACGTGTACGTAGGTGAACTAAACATAGAGTTTTAATGAGCCTTTATCAGTTTTTTGAGTGCTGCTTCTTTATTCGTAATTAATTTATTTTTTCTTTTTCTTCTCATTTTTAGGCGTTCAGTAGCGCATTAGGGCCCAGTAAAAAAGTATTTTTTGCGAGAAGATTGGTTTGCAGGACAATATAGATCTTGTAAACATCGTTAAAGTTCACACTTTACATGCTGAATATGATCAAATCTAAACAGTTTTAGAATTTGCAGATGTCGGGAATCTAAATACATTGATTTGAATTCATCATTACTTGCCTTTTCCTCTTTTCCTTCTGTGGTCGCGGTTGGCGAGGTTTATAAACGAGAAGAACGTGAAGAACGAACGACGGACTTTTCTGTGCACCGATGTATTGGGACTGGAAGGAAAATACTTATGTCTCTTTCGTTATTCTAACTTCTCCGGGGCAGGATCTGTTTCTTGTCGGAATTCGTGTGTGGTTGGTTGGTTAACTTGAAAAAGATTGGAGCTCAGCCAGTATTAAAGAAGATTGCCTTGGCAAGTCGTTCATTGACACTCTCAGAAAGATTATTAAATTCATATAGCTTGTTATCGCTGTTGTTTCCAGGAATGTACTTGTTAAAAGGTAGTGATGTGGCCTACAGTATTTTTTAAAACCTGTTAGACATTTCTTTTCATACCTTGGCATACGGTGGGCAGAGGTTGCAAATTTTGCTTGAATAACAATTATCCCCGTAGGAAGTTGTAACTCCTCTGAGGTGAGTGTGTGAGCAAACTTTAGATTAAGAATCTGAGATGTTTGGAAGATAACGACCGATTTGGTACAGAGGTGCAAAAATTGCAGTTCTTGTTCGTGTAGCAGAAAAGTTTTTATAGGTGTTGTAGTGGCAGTGTTATCAGCATATGATCAGGTTTTAGTCGAAGAATTTGAGGCCTTTGTCAAATATTGTTTCTTTTGGTACAGAGCTGCTAAAGTTGCGGTTTTTTTACGAACAAGGGCTGTCCTAGTAAGGGTTGTACTGATAGCGTAGCAAGCGAGCAATGAGGTGTCTTTGATACAACAGCAAGTTTAAAAAATAATTGTGATTAGTGAACTGAACATTAAAAGACATTTAGAAGAAAAGTCGACTGAAAAAGAAATCAGCGCACTTTCAGTTCGCAACCTGACGCCGACCTTATTGCCCAAATGACATAGTTAGTTTTTGGTTCACTTCCCACGGTTCCATCCAATAACTATATTTGTATTAAAGGCTTTAGATTCGCTGTTTTTTATTTATTAATTTTCTTCTTAGCTTTTTCAGGCATTTTACTACAGAATAAAATACTACCAGTTTGCTTGAAACAATGATAAAATTTCGTTTATTAAGTTAATAAGAAACTTGGATGAGCCTGTTGATGTACACTAAACGCGTCATACGCCAAGGTACTGAAAGATAATAATATTACACTTTAATGAAACGTCTGTTGTTTCGTCGTTTTTTTATAGGTACTTTTCCATGATTCTCTTTGTTTTTTTCAAATCAGCTTAAGACGTAGAAAATTGTTGAAGTTGAAGATTTTTCTCGATTAGTTTTTGGAAAAAACAACGCGCTTTATTGAACACCCAATGCCCCTACAATTCTTAATAATGCGTTGTTTTGACTCAACCTTTCACAGTGTTTTATTTCATATCTTTACAAAACCAAATGCGGGCATCATATTTTTTTAAAATTTTGTTCACTTTTTTGGAATATTTACGTTACAGCTACGCATTTATATAACATAGTAGAAAACACTCATTGCTTTTTTGAGAACCTTTTCTTGCTTGATTGCTTCCTTTAACCTCCAACTCGTTAATGTACTTGCCGGCCGTTTATAAGATTTTCCATGGCACTTTACCGTAGTCCTCTCAAATTATTGCTATGAGTCCTCAGCCGTTTTCTTGGTTTTCCTCCCTAATTGAGAAGTGGAAGTTCATCTACAAAATTTGTGCTGGGATTGAATTTGGACTTCGCTGCTCTTTCTCAAAAAACTTGACTTTTTTTAGTTTAGAACCATCTGTTGAACAGCTGACGTGTGATTT